AAATAGGATACATAGTCCCTCTTCACCTCAAAGGATTGTCATCAGGTCCGGATGATGTAAGGGGTATAAAATAATTTTGTAGCAGACTACAAGCATCATGTTTATTTATTTGTTGAAATAACCCAGCAGAGAGTTCAGATTCTGACTAAGTGATTCTGACTATAGGTGATTTATAGGCTAATAACTATGGATTGATGAAGGTCCCCAAGTTTGTGAACGCAACTCTATGTCACCATCCCTTCAGATAGTCATAGAAGTGCATTCTGCTAGTGGACCAAAGGCAGTTTAATTTGTAGGCCAGGGGAGTCAAGTTATGGTAACTTTCCAAAGAGGGTAACCCAAAGCAAAGCCTTTCTCTGCCTTCCTTCTGACCTGGCTGATTGTCTTCAACAGACCTTATAAAGCTCATCTTGCTATTCTTCCTGGATGGTTATGGCAACATGAAAGGAGATCCCTTCTTCAAGTCATTTTCTCTTAATTATTCATTGTCTTCTGTTGCTCAGTGTTAAGCACAGTTGACTCCTGAAAAACTAAATTGACTAGGCTAAATTTTTTCGATGTTTCTTAAATTGTGGTTATAACCATGTAGCATTAAATTTATCCACTTGGGGCCTCCCCGGTGGCGCAGCGGTTGAGCGCGGGGCTGCGAAGCTGCTCGCAGCCTCTGCAGCGCCGGTTCGATCCCCAGCCACCAGGCGAGGTTCCCACATGGCGCACAGACTTCTGCCGCCCGCTGCTCCCCTCAGCAGTGTACTTCGTCATTCTGCCTGCTCTGCTCTCCCCTCTGTCTTTGGTGAATTCTCTCACCCTCCCGCACTTCTGACTGTACCCAGTGCTTGTATAAATAAATAAATAAATAAAATCTTTAAAACAAACAAACAAAAAAAAATTACCCATTTAACCATTTTTAAGTGTACCATTCAGTCAAGTATATTTACATATGTTGTGGAACAGATCTGTAGACCTTTGTCATCTTGTAAAACTGAAACTCTATGCCCATTAATCATTAATTCCTACTCCACCCTCCCCTAGCCCTTAGTAACCATCTTTCTCCTTTCTGTTTCTGAGATTTGACTGCTTTAGATACCTCAGATGAGTGGAATCCTATTGCATTTGTCCATTTGGGGCAGGTTTATTCACTTAGCATAATGTCCCCAAGGTTTGTCCATGTTGTAGCTTGCGGCAGAGAGTAGGTTAATGTTTTCATTGTGAGTGACACAAGTAAGGGACAGCTGGGGAAACCCCTGTACTGGTTTGTCCATCTGGTGGAGACCTATCTTGGACTCAAGTACTTCTTTCCTTTATTTTCTATGTTGCAGTTGGATATCTTGATTTTACCCTGGCCATTTCTAAGCAGGTACAAGACAGAATTCATGCCAGTACCCCCAAAATCTTCCGTAGATCCGTTTTACTAGGCAGTTTAAAATAAACTTCCTACATTAACCGGGACTATTTAAAATTCTAGAACTTTGTGTCTGACCATGTAAGGCCATTACAAGCATCAGCCCTATTTTAACTTAACGGTGACCTTCATTATCCCTATCTGCATATGTATTTCATCAAAATTAACTCTGCAAGTTCATTTGTACTCTTCCGTTTCCATCTTTCAGTGAAACCTGGCCCTCCACATATTAAAAAGCTCTTCTTCCATAATGGAGATTTATATGTACAATGGACGAATCCTCAGAAATTTTTAAGCAAATGCTTACTTTATGAAGTAGAAGTCAACAACAGCCAAACTGAAACACGTTATTATACTTTCCATGTAAGTTTTTCTAGATAGTTGTTTTCATTTGGATTTTTTCCTCTCAGGTGAATTTCTTACAGTATAATAAGTAGAAATAGAAATGAAATGTAGCTCGATTTGTCACACGATGATAGATGATGATGATAATGATGATGATGAAGCTTCTTGTCTGAAATAAGGCTTGGTGGAAGATTTGAGTGTTTATGGTAGCAGTGGCTGGAACACTCAAGGATTCATTAATTCATCTCTCAAAAAGTTTTTATTTCATATCTACCATGTGCCAAGCACTCTTTTAATGTGTATATGATACTTGATAAACAATTTTTTTTCCCCAGGAAGCCTACCCACTAGAAAATAAGTATGGAAATGAATGAGCTAATTTCAGAGAATGAATGCTCTGAAGGAAATCAAATGAGGTAATGGACAGAGTGATGGAGGGCCTGAGGGAATATTGGGTAGAGGAAATCATCTGAAGTGATGACATTTGAGGTGAAATGAGATAGAATGATGAACAGAGGCTGGCAGTTGGAAAGTCTAAGGGTGGAGGGGACAACAAGACTCTGCAAAGACTCTGAAATAGGAATAAGCTTGGCATGTTGGGGAAACAAAGGAGACTGGTGTGGCCAAACTGTAGTAGGAAAAGATGTCTAAGTAGGTGGCAGGGATGAGATCAGTAGGTACTTGGAGACTTTGGTCTGGCTATTCAGTTTTCTTGCAGTTAATGGCTACTGAGGAAGTCACATTTGAGTAGCCAGTGTTTGTTGGTTTCTGCAAGTTTATGCAATTTGGAATCTGATTCCAAACATGCTGATTAGAGGTCCCTGTAACATGGAGTAGAATGTGGTACAACCTCAGGGCATCTGTCTTATTGTTCTGCTGTAGAGTAGAGGTCACAGATATTTTTGTTCAGACCACAAACAAAGTTTGTTTATTATATTTGTTTGTTTATTATATTTGATTTTTGTTTATTATATTTGATGGTTTTTTTTTTTTGGCCCCAATTTTTTGTTACCAGAGGAATGTAGTTTCCATAGGGTGGAGCTTCAAAACTGCGAACACCGCGCCATTCTTTTGTGTGCCACTCTCTTGCGTGCCACCTGCCTGGGCCTTGTGTGCTTTTGACTTTTGAACATAGAGATCAAGTGTTTAATATTGGCTTTTAAGGGAACCAAGCATCTTGCATTTGGGCAAATTCCTCAGTCCAGTTGTTTTAGTTCATCATGTGAGTTTCAAAATACTTACTAAAATAAGCAGTGTCGACAAGCTGTAACTCCAGAGGGAGTGACCAGGTCCATAGCTGAACAGAGTTCTGGGCATTTACAGACGAATCCCTTTGCTGACATAGAATAATCGTTATCTGCAGCAGAAACTGCTGTCCCTATACAATACTGCAAAGGGAAAAAAGCAAAGGGCTTCCAAGTGTGGAGGTGGTAAGACTTGGATATGCAAGGAAATGAGTTGTCAGAAACTGGAAATGTACTTGACTGCTCTTGCCTGTCCTCTGCCCGCCTGTCTGAAATCCTGAGACATGCTCTGCTGTGTTACTCATTTGGCACTGAATTATATCCTGCTATTTACCCTGATCATGTACGTGTAGGCCTTTTCTTTCCACTGAAAACACAAACTCTGGTAGGGAGGAGTGAGATGGTGTTCACTTTGTGTTGTTTCTGCTACTACTAGCAGCTAACATGTATCAAGCAGTTATATAACAGATCTTATAACAAGCACTGCATTTGAATTGTCTCAACTAGTCCTCAAGGTAATCCCAAGTATCTATGTCCTCCTGTTATTTTCCCCCTACTTTACAGCTGGTAAAACTCAGTCTCACCCGGTGCTCTCAGGTCACATCGCTCATAAGTCAAGATTTCAACGAAAGTCTACTAACTTCTATGATAGGCTACAAAGATACTCTTCTATGTACTTCTTATATAGTAGCTCATAATAATATAAGAAATAGATGCTATTTTAACTTATTTTGAGAAACTAAAGCTCAGAGAGATTGAATAACTAATAAGTAGAACTATAAAGGGTGTTCTCCATATATTAAACTTTGACCAAAAATAGTTGGTATAGGGCCTCCCTGGTGGTGCAGGGGGTTGAGCGCAGCACTGTGAAGCTGTCTGCAGCCTCTGCAGCGTGGGTTCGATTCCCGGCCAGCCAGGGAGATACCCACATGGAGCAGCAGACCTCTCCTGTCTCACCTGCTGCTCCCCTTAGCCGTGCTTTCAGTCCATCTGCCTGTTCTGCTCCCCACTCTGTCTCTGGTGAATCCTCTCACCCTCCCGTGCCCTTGGCCTGTACCCCAGTTCTTGTATAAATAAATAAATCTTAAAAAAATTTTAAAAAGAAAATTTAAAAAAAAGAATAGTTGGTATAATATTTTGTGCATAGTCATCAATTAATGAATTCTTGATGAATTGAGTTACGTATGCATACATTTTTTTTAACAAACTTCTGAACTCAAGAGAACACACATACTATGAAACTGATCTACCTGAATCAGAACGATAGTCTCTTCAGGCTTAAGTCTGTTTATACACTTAAGTTTCATATTCTCTCTCCTAACAGATGTTCACCAGCTGCTTCCTCCCCTAGAATGACATCAACTTTTTGTATGCTGTTGATTTTGAGCTTTGCTGGTTACCCTTTTCCCTTTTATTTATTTATTTTTTTGCAAAACTTTTTGAGCAACTATTTTGCCTGCTATTCCACTTAAGAGGGGGAAGTATGATGGAAAGTGAACTGGGACCATCACATGGGGCCTGTGGTCAGAGGTAGCCTGTGACAGAATCAAAGGGGAATGACTTGTCTTTGCCCATTCCCCATCTCTGCTAAATATCTACTTGGTCTCCTGTGACTTTGTTTTCCTTTACTCCCAGAGGAAGGTATCCTAGCAGATGATTAAATGTGCAAGGGGATTTGCATTTGGGCAAGAGTTCCCAGAACCTTAAATTTATACAATGATTTGTGTAAATCTCTCTGGGAGAGACTCTAAGGGAGGAGGAAATTCAGCCTCAACCTGATCCAGCAAATGGTAGTGACACTTGTGATTCCCTAGAGGTTCTCTGATTCCAGATGGCCAGCAATGGGGTATAGTAGTCCCCCAATTGGTTTTTTTCTCTGCCTCTATATGAACTATTGAGAGATGGCCCTTCACCATTTAGTAGACCTTTCAGCTCTTCACACATGTTGGTAGAAACCATTTAATGAATGCATTATCTGCCAAAAATCATAGCTATCTGCTCTAGTCTTTATCCCATGTTTAAAGCTGTCTGACTTTTTATTGAGATATGATTGGCAAGTTAAGATTGTATGTATTTATAATTGTTTTTAAGGTGTATAGCATGATGATTTCACTTACATATATTGTTAAAGATTACCATAATCAAGTTAGTCAACACATCCATCACTTCAAGCAGCAGTTACCCCCTTTCTTATGGTGAAAATGCTTAAGGTCTAGTCTCTTAGCAAATTTCATGTACATACCATACAGAATTACTAACTATGTCACCATGCTGTATATTAGATCCCCAGAACTTCTAATAGAAAATTTGTACCTTTTTACCAATATCTTCCCATTTTCTGCATCCCCCAGTCCCAGCCTTTGACAACCACCATTCTATTCTCTGTGTATATGAATTCTATTTTTTAGAATCCACATATAAAGGATATCATATAGTACTGGTCTTTCTCTGTCTGGCTTATTTTACTTAGCATAATACCCTCCATGTTCATCCATGTTTTTACAAATGGCAGGATTTTCTTCTTTATTTTTTACAGCTGAATCATAATCCAGTGTGTATATATATCTCATTTTCTTCATCCATTTACCTGTGGATGGATGCTTGGATTATTTCCATATCTTGACTGTGGTGAATGATGCTACTATGAACGTGGGGTTGCAGAGCTCACCTTAAGATCCTGATTTCATTTCCTTTGGATATATAAAAAGAAGTGGAATTGCTGGATCACATGGTAGAGCTATTTTTAATTTTTTGAGGAACCTCCATATTGTTTTTCATATTGGCCACACCATTTTATAATCCCACAGTGTGCAAGATTTCCCTTTTCTTCACATCCTTGCCAGCATTTGTTATCTTTCATGCATTAGATATTAGCTATTCTAACAGGTACAAAGTGATATTTCATTGTGGTTTTGATTCACATTTCCCTGATGATTAGTGATATTGAGCATCTTTTTTTATACCTTTGGTCAGAGGTTGATTTTTTAAACTAAGCCACACATTTTCACTTATTAATTTTTGCTTCAGTTTTGAGCTTTTTGCCTTTTAGGAATTGATTATTCCCTTTACCTCAGATAACAAGTGACTTAAACTGAATTTTGCGTATTTTTTCTCTAACCTTGTTCATTTTTGATATGTTACACTCAACAAGGGAGATTAGTCTCTGCTTTTTCCTTTTAATATTTTTTTAAGAAAGTATTTTTTTAAAAGATTTATTTATTTCTACAAGCACTGGGTACAGTCAGAAGTACGGGAGGGTGAGAGAATTCACCAGAGCCAGAGCAGGGAGCAGAACAGGCAGACTGATGAAGTACACTGCTGAGGGGAGCGGCGGTCATGGCAGGAGAGGTCTGCTGCACCATAAGGGACCCTCGCCAGCGGCCTGGGATCGAACCCATGCTGCAGAGTATATGGGCAGCTTCGCAGCCCAGCGCTCAACCACTGCACCACCGGGGAGGCCCTTTTAAATATTTTTAATGTGTAATATAATACAGAAAAATTGTACATCTCATAATGTGCAGCTCAATGATTTTTCACAAATGATTTTCACAAATACCTTTTTTTACGTATGTAGACTGCTGGGAGCTCCCTCATGGCCCCTTTTGGTCACTATCCTTCCCAAGAGCAACTACTGCCCTGACTTCTAATGTCATAGTTGTTTTTTTTTTTGTGTGTGTGTGGCCTCTTTTTGGACTTTATATAAATGGAATTAAACAGAATGCACTTTTTGGGTGTCTGCCTTCTTTTATTCAATGTTATGTTTATGAGATTTGCTGTTATCATTGCTGTAGTTATAGATGGTTTATTTTCTTTGCATTCCATTCCATTCATTCATACCCTTGATAAAATGTCCATCATTGGTTAGTTTCCAGTTTGGAGTTTTATAAATAGAATTTTTATTAACATTTGCATACTTGTCCCTTGGTGCACATGTGTATACCTTTCTGTTGGGGATACATGGGTTATAAAGTTACATATGATTATCTCTGGTAGATAATAACAGCTTTCCCAAAGGGTTGTGCCAGTTTACATGCCTGGGAGCATACGTTGAGAGTTGTAGATGTTTAATGTCCTTGTGAATATTTGGTATTGTTTGGTAGGTATGTGCATTGTTATCTTGTGGACTTAGTTTACAATTCCCTGGCAACTGCTGAAGTGGAGGCACATTTTCATATGTTTATTGGCAACTTGAATATCCTCCTGTGAAATGCCTGTTCAACTATTTAGCCAATTTTTCTATTAGGTTGTCTTTTCTTTAATTGGTAGCCTATATGTATATGTATATGTATATTAAATATAAATCTGTAATACAGATATGCAAATTTTATGTCAGAAATTGCAAATATCTTCTCCCATTCTATGTATTACCTTTGTATTTTCTTAATAGAATGTCTTTTGTGAACAGAAGATGTTTTAAATTTAATTTGATTTGATTGTGTTATTTAAAGATTTATTTTATTTATGCATCCAGGAACTGGGTTATAGGCCAGAGGTGTGGGAGAGGGTGAGAGGATTCACCAGAGAAAGAGTAGGGAGCAGAACAGGCAGATTGACTGAAATACACTGCTGAGGGGAGCAGTGGGCGAGACAGGAGAGGTCTGCTGTGCCATGTGGGTTAGCTCCCTGGCCAGGGATCGAACTCATGCTGCAGTGGCTTCATTGTGCTAAGACTTAACTAACCCTTGCACCACCAGGGAGGCCCAGATGTTTTTAATTTTAATACAGATTACTTTATAAAAAAATTTTCCCTTATGATAAATGTTTTCTTGGCCCTGTTTAAGAAATCTATTCCTGCTTCAAGATTGAAAGCTGTTCTACATTTTCATCTAAAAGTTTGCTGTATTTATGCTTCTATTTGTTCATTTATTTTAACTTTCACATGAAGATCTGCAGTTCATCTGGAATTGATTTTGTGAATAATGTGAGGTAGGGGTCACACTATTTACTGTTGAAGATTGTGTTTCTTTCCTGTATGAATATTATGGATATGTAATTGACTCAGAACCAACTGTTTAACAAAACAACCTGCTTTTTGTTGTTGTTGTTGTACCTGGCTCTCTTTTAATGGGACAAAAGGAAACTGTTAGAAATGAATGGTTAAGTGCTATTAAATGTGGTCTTCTATACATTTTGAAGTCATTCTTTTTTCTCTATTTTCAAGAAAGAATCAGAGGCCAAGTGTCAGAATTCAGAATTTGAGGGAGACAAGAAGGTCAGTAAATTCAACTTAAGCTATTTGGGCTTAAACTCATAGAGCAATTAGGGGTGGGGCAGGGTGAGCATAGCTTAAATTTGAACTGCTCTCAGGAAAATAAACTATTTTGTCATGTAGGTTATTGCCAACTGTTTTTTTCAGGAGTTAAAATCAGATCATTTGGATCACAATACAAGTCTTACTCATACATAAAAATGTGGACAATAATTATAGTAGGATTCAAAAGCAGAGAATGAGAATAAACTGGTAATAATAGTCTTTGTGTATTTTTTATTTTCTATCTAAGGAAACAATTTGTTTCATGGTCGCTGGTGTTCTTCCGAATGCTTTGAATACAGTCAGAGTAAGAGTCAAAGCAAGTAAGTTATGCTATGAGGATGACCTATTCTGGAGTAATTGGAGTGAAGAGAAGAGTATTGGTAAGAGAAAAGTGTTTCATTAAAATTTAATGCATGGAAACTAAACTGATGCAAAAAATAGATGGGAGGATGGGCCTCCCCGGTGGCGTAGTGATTGAGCGCTGGGTTGCGAAGCTCCCCGGCTGCTCCTGGCGCGCAGACCTCTCCTGCCGCCCGCTGCTCCCCTCAGCAGTGTACTTCGGTCTTTCTACCTGCTCTGCTCCCCGCTCTGGCTCTGGTGAATTCTCTCACCCTCCCGCGCTTCTGACTGTACCCAGTGCTTGTATAAATAAATAAATAAATAAATCTTTAAAAAAAAAAAAAAGATGGGAGGAAAAGACTCTTCTATATTCTTGATGTCAACCAGAGAATACTCACAATAGAAATTTCTTTTCTATTTAATTACTGTCAAATCACCGAGGATTCAGGATTCAGGATTCAGCTCTTTGAATATCTGTAATCCAAATAATGTTATCCTCTTCTGTCCTGTCTATGCCTTTATTAAAAATCTTAACATCTGATCTCCAAACTGAGGCACCCAGAGGGAGAAAATGGTAGGGTGGGAGTGGGGGAGGGAAGGGCCAAATGGAATATGGTAGAGGATTGTTGGGGTACTGGTGATGGGCAAGGCGTGAAAGTATATATTTGTAGAGGTTTGCATTTTAACCCCTGGAGCAGATGTGAAGAAGTAAATCTACTTTACCTCAATAAACACAATAGGGGTGGAAAAAGATCGAAACTGCTGGCATAGTTAAATTTTCAGATTGCCTAGTGCAAGAAGGCTGCCCTATGTGATGGTGACAGAATCAAGAGTGGTACAGTGACCTTGATAGCATTTAATAGATATCAGCCTGCATCTAGGATTGAAAAAAATCATTTTCATTTATTAACTGAGAGTCTGAATAAGCTTTGTCCCAGCTTCAAGTACAAAACTGTAAAACCTGTGCTTTATGAATGTGTATGGATGAGTTCTATTTGACTAACTCAAAGTGACTCAATATTGAATTTAAATATTCCCAAAAGGCATAGGCAGTCTTTGGCAGCAGTGATAATGCAGCACCCCGAACAAGGGAATGCTGTGGGGTGCTTCACAGTGGTCTGGCCACATCAGAAGTGTGAGGCATTCCATTCTGGGTACTACACTGTAGGGAGACCACTGCCAGACTGGAATCATTCCTTGAAGGGGTAACAGGATGTTGAAGAATCTCAGAATTTAGAAAGGAACAGCTGATGAAGTAAGCCTGGGAAATCATAATTGCAGAGTTCTAATATTTGTGATAGTGTTAGATAGAAGAAGGAATAGACTATCCTTTTTTTGTGGGTCCATAGGGCAAATCAGGCCAACTTAAGAACTTTCTAACAGCTATCTAACCGTCAGAGAGACGGGCTGTTCAGGTATTTAATTTCCTATTAAGAGAGTGAATAAACTGTGTGCCAGGCATGATTGTAGTCATTACCTATTGTTGCATAACAAATTACTCCAAAATTTAGTGACTTAAAAAATACACTTACCATCTCACAGTTTCTATTGATGAGGAGTCTGGGCATGGTTTAGCTAGGAACCTCTAGTTCAAGTTCTCTGATGAGATTATAGGCAAACTCTCAACCAAAATTGCAGTCTTACCTGAAGTCTTAACTACAACTGGAGAATCCACTTGCAGGCTCATTAATGGCTTGTTAGAAAGCCTTAATTCTTCTCTGTCTATAACAGGTTGAATCATATCCCCCCAAAAGACATGTTCAAGCCCCAACACCTGGTCCCTGTGAATGTGACCTTATGTGGAAATAGAGTTTTGCAATGGTAATCAAGTTATGCTGAGGTCATACTGGCTTAGAGTAGGCTCCACTTCCAATGACTAGCATTCTTACAAGAAGAATAGAGGATACACAGAGACCCACATACACACTGGGTGAAGATGGAGGCAGAGATTAGAGGTGCAGCTGCAAAGCAAGGAATACCACAGATTTCTGAGACCCATGAGAAGAGGGGAGGGGCAAGGAGGAACTCTCTCTGGAGCTGTCTGGGGGATCATGTCCACCAGATACCTTGATTTTGGACTTTTAGCCTCCAGAACTGTGGGAGTTTACATTTCTGTTGTTTTAAACCAACCTGTGTGCGGTCATTTGTTTCAACTGCTCTAGGAAACTAATTCAGAGGCCTCCCTCGGTTCCTTGCCACTTGGTCCTCCCCACAGGGCTGCCTCTCCACAGGGCAGCTGGCGTCCCCAAATGAGAGGGATCTAAGCAAGAAAGAGTGAATGAGAGGACACCCATTATGGAAGTCACAGTCTTGTATAGCCTAACCTCAGAAAGGACATCTCATCGCTGCTGCTGTTCAGTTCTTTACAAACGAGTCAGTTAATCTAAGAAGAGATTACATTAGGGCGTGAATACCAGAAACCAGGGATCATTTGGCATCACCTTAGAAGTTGCCTAACATGATGGTGCTAGGCCCTGATGATGCTTTCTAGATGTTTATACCATAGTGAAAACAATGAGTATTAATAGACATAGGACATTCTTTGCATTGGGTGTAGCAAGGCAGTTAAGGACAGCCTTTGGAATTGGACAGTGCTGCATTTGAGGCTCGATTCCATCACTTATAAACGCTTCTGGATGAGCCACTAAACCTCTTGGAACCTTGTCCTTCTCATCTGTATAATGGGAGATAACATTTTCTATTTCTGTAGCATAGATATAACATGTAAAGCAGCTAGTATGGTATTAGCCATATAGTAGTTGATTGATTAAGGGTAATAGTGGTGGTAGTTATCACTAAGCTTATTTTAGGTTTTCAAAGACTGGTAAGTGACCAGTAAGAAAAGATAGTGACTCCTAATGAGCTGATATATTTAACAGTTATAACATCTTTGTTGATAGTATCTGAAACTAGTTAAGATATCCCAATTTGAGATAACCCTTAATGTATTTACTCATCCTTGCCATTTTAAGCACCAGAAAGGACTTTTTTTTTTCACTATTAAGATAACAGAAGAGGGCCTCCTCAGTGGCGCAGTGATTGAGTGCTGGGTTGTAGAGCTGCCCGCAGCCTCTGCAGCGCTGGTTCGATCCCCGGCCGCTGGCGAGGGTCCGCGTGGCACACAGACCTCTCCTGCTGCCTGCTGCTCCCCTCAGCAGTGTACCTCGTCAGTCTGCCTGTTCTGCTCTCCCCTCTGTCTCTGGTGAATTCTCTCACCCTCCTGCACTTCTGACTGTACCCAGTGCTTGTATAAATAAATAAATCTTAAAAAAAAAAAACTGTAAAAAGACAAAAAAAATAAAAAAGATTACAGAAGATAATATCACTGAGAGTTTTGGAAAATAGTTTGGGATAGAGAGCAAAAATATCTGTGATCTTACTAGTCTCATGCAACTATTGTTTGGTTTATTTCTAAAAGGGCTTGATTTCTCATGTCTTTCTATATGCTTCTGATTTTTCAGGTAAAAAGACCGATTCTACATTATACACAGCCATGTTACTCATCATTCCGGTCATCGTTGCAGGTGCAATCATTGTCCTTCTGCTTTATCTAAAAAGGTAAGGCTACTGCTCAGGCAGGCTTTCTGGACGTGGCTGGCCCACTTGCTGTGGTATTACTCTTTGTGCTGGCGTTTGATGTTTACCCAGTATATTAGAAGCATTTTGCCTATAAATGGCTTTTGGTGTACTTCTTTTGGCAAAGAAGTAATACTGTGCTATTTTCTGGTAGGGAAAGGGTTGGATTTGTCGCCCAGTGCTCCTCGGAGGTATTGCTCTCTTTGCATATGTCTACAGTTGTTGATAGGCCCAACGGTCACTCTTCTTCCAGATGCCTAACATAGCAACAGTTGGTAGCTCTTGGAATGAGGTTTTAGAAATGAATACCATTATTAATGAAATGACTTCTCTAGTATCAACGCAAAGCACATTGCTTCCTAAAGCTATAGCAAAGAGGATTTCAAGTTGTCTCAACTAGATGGTACTCTTCCTTGAGTATATTTTACTTTATCTCACCACAGGGCCTTCTTTGATGCTTTTATTTGCTCTTGCAGTAAATATCTAAGGTTGGAATAAGATTATTAAGCTGAGTTCAGAACCAATAGTTTATTGTTTCTGCATTTGTTCAACACTTGTTTATTGTGTACCTGTTTATAGGCCAGACATTAATTGTGGGGTTACTGCAGTGATCAGGAAAAAGTCCCTATCTATCTCCTAAATAATAAATACTATGATTTCACATAATTAGTAGTAAAGTTGAGGAAAATAAGGAGGGTTGAGAGTTGAGGAGGAAGGCTAGGAAGTGGTAGACTCGTTTTACGTCGGGTGGCCAGGGACGATCTCTCTGAGAAAGTGACATTTGAGGAGAGACTCACAGTAAAGGAGTGAGCCATTCAGATATTTGAAGAAAGAGCATTCAGGCCAAGAGAAAAGCAGGTGCAAATTCCCCAAAGCTGGCCTGAGCTTTGTGTGTCGTGTTGGAGTACCGTGTGAAAGCTCGAGAGTCACAGGCAATGAGTCAGCAGAGGTGGGTGAGGCCTGATTATGCAGGCCATGGCAGGGAACCGAGATTTTATCCTAAGCATGATGGGGAAGTACTGGAGAGTTTTACACAGGAAAGGATGTGATTTATTGTTTTATTTTTTTAAAGATTTATTTTATTTATGCATCCAAGAACTGGGGTGTAGGCCAGAGATTTTGGGGGAAGTGAGAGGACTCACCAGAGACAGAGTGGGGAGCAGAACAGGCATATCTACTGAAATACACTGCTGAGGGGAGCAGCAGACGAGACAGGAGAGGTTTGCTATGCCATGTGGGTAGCTCCCTGGCTGGGGATCTAACTCCCGTGCTGCAGTGACTGCCAATAGCTTCATAGTGCTGAGATTTAACCCCTTGCACCATCAGGGAGGCCCCCGTGACTTATTGTTTTGAAAGATCACTGGAGTTGCCGAGTCAAGAATTGACTTGGGTAAGAATAAGAGCAGGTAGACGAGGTAGGAGGCACTGCGGTATGTGTGGGGAACAATGAGGGGAGCCTCAGCTAGCATGTTAGCAGTGGAGGTAGGAACACGTGATGAGATGTGGGATATATTTGGCGGTAGAATGAATGGCTGCTTGTCTGTGGAGCTATGAGCGAAATTGAAGATTCAGGGATAACTCAGATTTTTAGCTGCAGTTACTGAAGGAATGCTGGGGCCATTACAGCAATGGAGAAGACTGTGAGGTAAACTGGCTTTAGGGGAAAGGTGAGCACTTTAATTTTGAATATGATAAGTTGGAGCTGCCTACCAGATATCCAAGTACAGATGCTTCATGGGTAGCTGTGTACATGGATCTGGAGTTGAAGGGAGAGGTCTGGGTTGGAGATAGGATTTTGAGAGTCCTCTGCATGTAAATGCATTAAAACCCTAAATTTGGAAGAGCATACTCATAAAGTGAGGGAGATAAAGAAGAGGACTGAAGCACACCAGTATTTAAATCCTGAAAAACAATGTAGGTCCACCAAAGACTCGACGGAGAGTAACAAAAAAGAAAGATAAAGAGAAATATATCTCATATATACCTATATATATATATTAATATATGAGAATTTTTTTCAAAATTATAAACAGTAAGCTCCTATCTTTGTCTATTATAAGTAAAGCACCTAAAAATATGGCCTCCCTGGTGGTGCCGCAGGTTGCGCGCAACCTTGTGAAGCTATTCGCAGCCTCTGTGGCGCGGGTTTGATTCCTGGCCAGCCAGGGAGATACCCACATGGTGCGGCAGACCTCTCCTGTCTCGCCCGCTGCTCCCCTCAGCAGTGTTTTCGGTCGTCTGCCTGTTCTGTTCCCCGCTCTGTCTCTGGTGAATCCTCTCACCCTCTGACGCCTCAGGCCTGTACCCTAGTTCTTGTATAAATAAAATAAATGTTTAGAATAAAAAGCAGCTAAAACTAAAAATAAATAAAGAAAACCCCAGGTCTTCAGATGGCTATTTCCAAAGTGTTAAAGTGCAATTTAAACAAATGAGCACAGTCAATCACATTTTTCTCATTAAATTTTAAACTAATTTTTGGGAGCACAAAGATGTTTATTCCTATTAAAATTTTCCCTTTGTTATTCTCTTCAAAAACAAAAAATTAAAGCACCATTATTATTTAAATGATAAGGTATCACACACACACATCTCATAACTATGTGAAGGGATGGATGTGTTAATTAACTTGATTGTGGTGATCATTTCACAGTGTATACATATACCAAAATATCACTTGTACACCTTAAATATGTACATTTGTTTTTGGTCAAACACATCAACAAGCTAGAAAAAAAGTAAATGACAGGGTATAAATAGTCTGCTTTCCTGGCAGCCCCTTTACTACACCCACGCTTGATGCTCAAAGGGCATCAATTTGTCAGCTTGTTTTAGAAATGTCCTCACAACTTGCTTCATCAGTAAAAATGGCTCATGTGTCTTGTCTTGTCCAAGCTTCCTTTAAACATGACTATATTTAAGGGGGAGGCTCCTGTGGGCTAGAAGATTTGATTAAAATTGTCTCTATTTTCTTGAAGGCTCAAAATAATTATATTCCCTCCAATTCCTGATCCTGGCAAGATTTTTAAAGAAATGTTTGGAGACCAAAATGATGATACCCTGGTGAGTACTGACTCCAGAGGGTTCAAAATTGGTTTGGTTTGGGGGAGGAGGGCTTTTGGATTTTTTAAAATTTTGGCAAAATATATATATAAAACAGAAAATTTACCATTTTAACCATTTTTAAGTGTACAGTTCAATGGCTTTAAGTACATTTATAGTGTCGTGCAGCTATATCACTAATTCCAGAACTTTTTTATTGTCTCTAGCAGAAACTGTGTCCACAAAACAACAAATTTACCTTCTCCTGTACCCATAACTCCTGGTAACCTGTCTCCAATTTTCTGTCTATATGAATTTGCCTATTCCGGGTACCTCATAAAAGAGGAATCCCACTATATGCATCCTTTTGTGTCTCGCTTTCACTTAACATAATGTTTTCAAGGTCCATCCATGTTGTAGCATGGATCAGAATTTCATTTCAAAGTTGGTTATTTTAAAATACAATTTATTTAAAAGATTAAATAAATCTTTTCAATGTTGTGTTCAGACCAAGCAGACCATTGAAGAAGTCCTAGAATACCTTCCTTGTCTTGTGTCACTGGGCTTCCTTCTCTCTCTGAGGTAGGGAGCATGTTTCACACAAATGTGCAGGGAGAGGAGCTGCCTTTCTGAAATGAGCCCAATAGGCAGGGCTTCCAACTCGTGGATAATTTTTAAAATTTGATTTGGGGAAATATAAAGATAGGGTAAATAATTGAAATAGATTTTGTTTATGCTATTGCCTGGAAAGCTGGCCTCCAAAGTCATGGAATTAGAGCAAAAACATCCCAACTGTCATAGCTAGTTTGCTGCAGAGTCTCATACTCGAATTTGTGGCTAGAAAACAGAAGATTTTATGGGAACAGAAGAGTATGAGGCTTGGTGCTAAATACATTCACTCAAATAAAGTAATCTACTCTAAATGAAATAAATATCAATATTATTGTATATATCTTAAAATTAGTTAAAAAAATAGTTATAGGGCAGTTAATTTAGGACAGTAGTACAGCATAGTAGATAATAGCCTGGGCTCTGGAGTCAGATTGTCTGGGTTCACATCTCTGTGTTGCTCACCATGTGTTTGACCTGAGGTAACTTCCTGATCTCTCTGTACCTCAGTTTTCCCATATGTAAAGTGGATATAATGATAGCAATGGCCTCATAGTTTTGTCATTTGGTTTAAATTAACACCTAGAAACCACTTAGTATGCTAGCACATTATTTATTTATATATTTATTTTGAATTGAGGTGATACTGGTTTACAATGTTGTCTGTGATTTACAGGTATAGGATCTCCCCCTTCAGGTGTTGTTACCACACCACACCCACCACCAAAGCACTCATAGTCCTCCACCATAGTCCACTGTGCTCCCTCCCCATTTGGTTCTCACTTCTTCCCCTCCCTCTCTCTTAGCCTCAGTTCTGCAGTCAGCTTTCTAGAGTTTGTACTGGGTTACTTCTTCAGTAAGCCATGATCACAGACAGTGATAACTCTGCCAGAGCTTGTGGGGGTTTTAGGCAGTTGCCTAGTGTGAATATTATATGCTGTGACTGAGGTGAATATGGCACCTCGTGGTTCCTCAAGTTTGGTTGAGTCACAGTCAGCTGGAATGCCTGTAAGAATGTAGATTCCTAGACACTACTTCCAGAAATTCTGACTGGGATGAGTTTCAGGAAACTGCATACTTAAGGAGCCCACAGATGTTTCCTATCCTGACAAGACAGTCTGTGCACCACACTTTGAAATCACCATTTTAGATATTTTCTTAGGATTACCCCATCTCTTTCTTCATTTCACCAGCTACTGCGGTGGATGCTAGAGGCTGGGGATCGTGCTAGTACTCTACCAACAATTCTAATCAGTTATTGAAAGTCCACCGTGTTCCTAACAGTATCTAAGTGTTTTCTTTGTATTTCCTTATTGAATCTTCATAACCACTCTGTGATGCAGGTGATGTTAGTACCATTGTATGGGTGAGGAAATGGACCCTCAGTGAAGTTAGGTAACTTTACTGAGGTCACACAGCTAGTAGGCAGTAAGGTGGGATTTGACCTATAACTGTCTGATGTCAGAGTTTGTCTCTCTTTCCACTACGCTACATGGCCCCTTATAAGACAGAATGTCCTCAAGAACCTCACCACCGTCTCAGAGCTCTATATGATAGAAGTAGAAGGTTTGGATAGGGGAGTGCAGTTGAAGTCACATCATGGCTTACCTGCAGAGGTATTAGGAATATCATTCTGACAGTCATCTGGAGGGAATGGAATAGAGAGGAGAGGCACGAGCCTGGTGGTAAAGTGGGAACCTAGTCCTGAATTTGTCCCATAGATATTTCGTTTGGTCAGGGTGGTGTATTTAGAAGTTTCCCATTTGAAATATTAAGCAGAGCACAATATAGCCCAATTCATCTCAGGCCCTGAGATGTAGTTTCACACACTGACCTGGTTTGCCAGACCCCTGAAAAACATTTGAGCTTGCTACCCCACTTAGCAGAATGAAGACTAGTCAGAATACTATGACACAAATGCCCAGTATCTGTGAAAACACATTTGGACTCACTAATATATTTAAGACATGCCAACCAAAGGATTAATGAGGTATATATCTTCAAGCAAGTAAATTTCTCAACAGTAAGAGTCCAGTGTTAACAGGTGGGTCGGGAACTGCACTTCATGCACTGCTGGAGGGCCTGTAAAATGATGTATACTCTTTCTGGAAGGCAACTTGATAAAATGTAACAAGAATCTTTAACCCTATAATTATACTTTTAGAAAATTATTTTAAGGAAATAATCCAACAATAGAACAAGAATGACCAATAAAGCATTTGTTTCTACATGAAAATTAGAAACTAATGAAACAACAATCAAGATGTTAGTTTTTAGAAAGTTGGGTTTTCAAATCATTTTATGTCAAGGCAAAATACTCATGATAGAAAAGTAAAAAAAAAAAAAAAAGATAAATGTGTAGTATATTGCAATCCTGATTTTCTAAAAATGCATTAAAACATACATAGCACAGCAAGGGAAAGGAAATGTGTCAAAATGATCATCTCTGAGCAAAGGGATTATGGATAATTGATGCTCTCTCTACCGTGCTGAAAAATTTCCAGATTGCCTTTAACAAGCATGTATTACTTCTATAATAAAAAGAAACCCCTTACAAGTCATTAAGGGAAAAGAGAATCCTGTAGACATGTAGGTCTGAGAGATAATAGGGACTTGAACTTAGGTGTTTGCACAGATTGATGCAAGAGACATTATTAAGGGAAACTCATTAGGACTTGCTGTCTTTGTGGGCAGTGAAAGGTGGGAAGGAGTCAAAAATAAGCTCAAGATTTCAAGCCTGGGTGATAGCGTGAATGATGGTGACATTGACAGCGAAATCAGATCAATTATCTTTCTCACAGATGGGGAAATTGCTTTTTTCCAATTTGCTGTCTAGAGGATAATAGGTTGTCCCGATGAGTCAGATAATTCTATAATTTAGTCAGGTGGATACACTGACAAGATGGACCACTAAAAGCATTAAATGTTTTTGTTTGTGGTGGTTGCAGACCATTAAATAAAATCAGTCTCCAAAACTGAAAATATAATAAAATGCCAGACAGGGGAAAGGGTAACAGAACAAATTTTCATGTTTGTTTTTTTAACCAAATGAAGAATCTACTTTCTGTATGTGGCAACCATCCTTACAAATCGAAGTGCATATGCAGCAACAAGACTAACCTTTTACTTCTAGAATCATTAATTTATCGAATAAACCTGGCCCCAGAGGTCAACTAATGAGACAGATGCGTTCATGTTTATTTATGTTTAATTATACATTTTCAGAACTCTAGATTCTAGTGCTACCTCCTCACTGGGGAGATGAGGAGACTGGGGACCAAAGAGAAATTTCTCGAGGACAATCACATAGAGAAGTAATTGTGGAGCCTGAACCACAACACATTGTAGCACAAAGTTACTGATTCCTAATCCAAGGAAATAATCCATGCCGTTTTAAAAGCTTGTTTCTGCCACACTGCCCCATCAATAGTAGTTCTTTAGAAAAACATATTTAGGTGTGGACACTAATAAATTAATCTTCTGTATAGTTTTCCTTAAGGTTTCTAGTGTTTTGACACTGTTTTGTTCATCGCTGTAGTAACATTTTGTAGTAACATTTTGCTGTTTGCCTTTTCTTTGTGACTAATTGGGCTGCTGGCCATGGTGGTGGTGATGCTGGCAGGGGAGCAGTGCGGAGGGAACTGCTTCTCCTCTGCATCTGCATTTCTTTTTCATCCGTAAAAAAATAAAAAAATAAAAAATAATTTATTCATCCCTTGATTCTTGGAAACCAATTACATTTTCTGTACTGTGCCAATTTTGCATTCCTGGTTGGAAAGCAGTTTTTTAGCTTGGAGTTGACGTCCAAAACCTGTTGATTTTTTTCCCCAAATTATGTAATTTTAAATTTTTTTATTTATTTTTAATTTTTTTCTTTTTAAACAATATTTGCTTCTCCCCACCCCCTCAGATTGAGTCCCCATAGAATTTCCTTCCCCAAGGCACCCATGCACCATCACCACAGTCCTCTGTGCTCCTCCCTCCTCCCTCTCATCCCTCTCCCTCCTCCTCCCCTGGTATCTCTGGTTTATAATTGTCTTTGCTTGGTTGTCTTTTGTACTGTTAATATTTTCTTTACACTGATGCCTTATTTGGTTCCCTTATATTCCTGCTATAAGTGAAACCATCCAATATTTTTCTTTTTCCTCCTGGCTTATTTCACTAAGCAGGGAAATGCCAATCAAAAGCGCACTGAGACACCACCTTACACCAGTGAGAATGGCACATATCAAAAAAACAAGCAAACAGCAAATGTTGGCGAGGATGTGGTGAAAAAGGAACTCTCCTACTTTGCTGGTGGGAGTGCAAACTGGTCCAACCACTGTGGAAAGCTGTCTGGAGGTTCCTCAGTCTACTAAAAATAGAGCTACCATGTGACCTGGCAATTCCACTCCTAGGGATCTACTCAAAGG